TTTTTTTTTTTTTTTTTTCCCATACAGGGGGCCGGGGTCCCGGGTGCCGACCCCCGGAACCCCGGAACCCCGGCGGGGTCCCGGGGCCGGGGGTCGACAACCCTGGTTATGACGCACGTTGTGAAGGATAGGATCTGCAGTAATACCCTTCGACCGAAGAGGTTGAGGGGTCGATAGGGTTGATGTTATGACGAGTAGATCTACGATGTACGCTGAGACTTCATCGTCAGTACATCAGTCAGAATAAATTAATACGCGCCCCGGTCGTACGACCAGAGCAATTATTAGTGTATGATCATCGGGGTTGAGGTAGCGCCCCGATGGTTGGCGTTTGCTCGAGCGGTACCTTTATCCTTACTAGTGCACCGTAAGCAAGGTTGAGGCTCTAGCTCGGCCTCCCGTAGGTAGAAAGGGAGTCGCCCCTTGGGAGGTGACTTCCTGACCGCATGACTACCCGAGTAACCGGTGCCTTTGTCCCTCTGCATAGACAGATACCGTTGCAGACTCTGTTATCATCCGCACAGGACCTAGACTCGTACTACTGGAAACCGGTGCCCCCCTACCTGATGGTACTGGGCCTCTGGAAATGCCTACTTCGTCTTCTTCTGATTGGCCTCGAGTACCCGACAGGTCTACTCGGTGTGGTACCGGACTACCTACTACTTGAGTGTTTTCCCGTTGTTCTAAGTGTGCGGGTTTACCCCGCTACCTTGTAACTTTCCCACTGCGACCCTCAAATGACGCGACTACGGTAAGTACCCGCCTTCGGGCCTTTCGGTTAATTAGGTGCCCTTGCGGGACACACACGCACACTCAAGCCAACGAGCACACAGACAGGCCCGCAGGACCGGCAAACATGCACATACACAGGCTTAAAGACGGTGTCGGATTGTCGGTCGGGCCAAGCCGAGACATTGCTCTATACATACCAGAGCAGCTCTCCTTCTACTTGAAGTGGGAGCTAGTTTAGTAGGTTTCAGGACTGTTTGATATGCAAGGGATCTAGGGATCAAGACCTACCGCCTGCTGAGATGGCTCTTTTTTGAAAAGGAGCTCGACTTTTGTTTACCCGGTCTGAGACAACCGGGACTTGAACCCGTGACCTCAAGAATGGGGTTAGCCGAGGTTAGACCCCGTTGTGACAGTTGGCACGACGGGGTAGTTAGAAGTTAAAATTTTCTTTTGTCTGTTTATTTATTCGTTCGATTTGATTTCTTTTTATTAGATTCTTATTATTTTATTATTATTATTATTATTATTCGTTTAGTTTTCTGATCCCGTAGCAAACCTTCACATACTCACCTTAGTGAATCTGCACTAGATAAACGGGCAGATTCACTTTCACAAAATTTTGTTGTACTTCGCAGACGACGTCCGAAAGTCCTATCCGCGTACTCAGGCGGAGCACTCGTCGGAGGGAGCAGCTCGTGTGTAGCAGCGCACGGGCGAAGAAGCTCGCGAGGAGGGCAGCGTGCGGGAGTGCGCGCGCAAAGGTTGAGCGAGCGCGGGGTAGTGCACGCGCAACCGACAGAAGGTTAGTGCGCGGGGAGCATTGAAGAGATCGCGCAGAGGAGGCTGCGAGGTAGCGGGCGCAAGCAAAGGGAAGAAGAAGAAGAAGGAGGAGGAGAAGGAGAGGAGAAATACTTACCTGATCGTGCATCTCGATGGCGACATACGGGGCATACAGGCGAGGGGCGCAGAAGAATGGAGCGTGCGGAGCAATGGAGATGGCCGCGCGGTAGGAGGAGATGGAGCGCAGCAAGGAAGACAAAGTCGCGCGGAGGGGTAGCGCACACGAGTAAGGGAGAAGACAACGATGCGCGATGGCAGCGATGGTGGTAACGATGTTAGTAGTAGTAGTGACGAAGGAGTAGAAGGAGAAAAGAAGAAGAAGAAGAAGAAGAAGCAGAGAAGAAGGAGGAGAAAGGAGTAGGAGAAGAGAGAGAAGGGAAGGGGGTTCATCGTGACGAGATAGATCGTTGTAATTATCGATCTTGAAAGAGGAATGCCTAGCGAGCGCGAGTCATCAGCTCGCGCTGATTAAGTCCCTGCCATTTGTACACACCTCCGTCGCTCTTGC